GCTGTAGATGAAAGGTCACTATGTTGGTCAAATATAGGTGAAAATTGACTCTTTTGGTATGTTACATTGTAATTGGAGGAGATTAAATTCACAGCCACTAACCCTTATTCTATCTCGAATTGCCAAACAATGTAGCTTCAAATGAGATATATAATGTATAATGCATATCTCAGAAATCTGTCAAAGAGACAATGTTTAGTTTCTACCATTAATTTCTGGAAATATCCATCAGAATGTTGTTGAAAAATATTGGAGGCTTCGTAACATGTAACCATAAAAATCAGGTCTAAAATACATGGGGAGCAGGTCTAAGTCTCTGGGCGACGCCATATTAGATGCCATGTTTCCTTCTACGGGAGCCCTTGAGGACAAAATTAATTTACTGATTTGTAACAAACGTTTACAAAACTTTCGCCATTCTTAAATGTTGTTGTTTTACACATTTACCTCTTCACTTGTTGCCAGTGATGAAAGGGAGTCTGATGTGCTTGTTATTCTGCTAATGCTTTTTGACCCTAATGGGCATCCGTTGGTAAGGTCTTACTCCAACACAAAAATACTGCGTGCTTGCAACGATTTAGGTATCTACTGCCCCCTATTGCTAGGAAAAATACACACTGTCACTTTAAAGGAAAAACTTTTTAAGTTTTTCTACAATTAAAAGCTACTTTAGAATGTTTATTTTATTTTATTTATTTAGGACAGTGCATGTTAATGAACATAAATGTAAAAACAGCTTATATAAATGTAAACATGCCAGATTATAGCCAAAGGCTAATTTCCATCTGTTGTCCTTGGACATAAAAAGACATGATAATTCATAAAAATTCATCATTCATTCATAATAAAAACTCCATCACCAAACTTACACACACACACACCATTCTATTCACAAATAAAACATTAAAACTATAAAACTCATACATGATCACACACTTGATTTGTCCATAACCAGTTTTTAACCTTTGCCTTAAACAAATTGAAAGCCGAGCATTCTCTAATGGGTTGAGGAAGACTGTTCCACAGATGGCCACCCTTGACAGAGAGGACGTTCGTCCCAAATGCTGTCCGTCTATGTGGTATAAACAATTCTCCTCGAATTGTAGCTCGTGTAGTCCTGTTTGAGCTTTCTTTATGCCTAATGAACTGCTTTAGTGGTGGTGGAGCGAGTGTAAGACTTTATATTAAACAGACTCTTTTAAGTTTCATTAAGTTATTGAAGTTCAGTAATTTATGTTATTTTAACACATGACAACATAGTCTTAGCGTTCATTTTGCATTTTGACAGAAACATTCATGTTTGAGTTTATGTGCCCAAATGTTTCCTGGTCAGCTGGAGCTGAATGTTTTCTTGTGTTTTGTTTTTTCTTTCGTTTGACAAACTGAGTTCTCTTCTTCTCAGCTTCTTTACTTCCCAGCGTTCCTCTTGTTTGGTCTGGCTGCCACTTATTGTCCAGTCCCATGTGAGGCGCGCCAACTCACTTCTAGTCCAGATCTGCTTTCAGCTCTTTATCACAAGAGGGGCTAAGGTGTCCAGCGAGAAGCCTTGGGAGCTTTGTGTTAATGCCAGAGACAGTCTGCTCAGTGACTAGGAAGAGAAGAGCGACTGATCCTTTAGCTGCTCTGGAGCCTGGGAATTTCTTCAATGGAAGAGTATGTTAGGAAATATTTTACTGCGTATTTAAGTGTATGATGAATTCACAATGCCAAAGCAAGAAGATTATGACGTAATTCTATAGAGAGAACCATCAGTGCCGATGCTTTTAGATTGGTGTGGAGGGCATAGGAATGAGGGTTATGTAGGGTCATAAAGTAAAGCACTTTGAGCTGCATATTATGTAGCAAAAGCACTTTCTAAATAAAATGTGAGTAATTGATTGAGAACACTGATTAGTGAATCGACAGGGCGACAGTGTCTCAGGAGCCCAGGCTCGCAATTCCTGTTTTATGAATCACCCTTTTCATTGTCATGGTCTGCGTCTGCCCCTTCCTTCGTGTCTCCTGATGTTTCTCCATCCTCTCTAGAGTCCCTTCTGTGTCTCATAGCGCCCTCATGTGTCCTTTATCTGCGTCTCAATTATGTGTCTTATGTTTGTAGCCCTTTAAAGTCTATTCCTCCCAGGTCCTGTGTCATTCATTCATCCCCAGCCCTCCAGGTCTTCCTTCACGTTCTGTAGCTCCAGCCTCTTTGTCCCCAGCTCGGTGTGTGTGTGTCATCCCCTGCTCAGTGTTTGTGTGTATGTGTGTGCGTGTCCTGCCCCAGTTGGTGTGTGTGTGTGTGTGTGTGTGTGTGTGTGTGTGTGTGTGAGTCCTTCCCTCAGTCTTAGGTTCAGGCCTAGTCCACACATAGCCGGGTTTTTTTTTAAACGAATATCCGCCCCTCCAAAAACTTGCATCCACACCACCTCGTTTAAAAAAAAACTCTGTCCACACGTACCCGGATTAATACGTTGTTAAGGACATGCCAGACCTGTAGGCGGCAGTACTTCCCCCGTTCTTAACCTCGTCCTTCATCTGTGGTCTTCCGCAGTAAGGAGCAGTAATTCCGCTTGCAAAAACAAACAAGCAAAAAGCGCTTGGACAATTGATAAAGCGAGCGCAGCTCTGAGGGCATCCATGCTGTCGGCTAGTGTAAACACAGGTCGCACACGTGATGTCAGCATTTTTTTGTCGCGGAAAGTGACGTTGCGGACCTTAAAACTCCGGTTTTGTCTGTCCACACGCAGACACCCAAAACGGAGAAAACGCAGATCTTCACTTTGGCCGGAGTTTTTAAAAAGATCAGTTTTTGTGTGAAAAAACTCCGCTTCGTGAGGATGACAGGCCAAAACGTAGAAAAATATCTACGTTTTGGCAGATCCCCGGCTACGTGTGGACAGGGCCTGAGTTTTATGTTTTAGGTTTATCTGCCATCCACTGGTTCTGTTTCCCCATTTAGATAATTTGTGTCACCTGCCTTCCCTCCAGCCCTCACTCCACACACCTGCTTCCTGTTTCCTTAATTGTTCTCCCTGTGTATTTAAGCCCTGTCTTGTCTCTGTTTGGAGTTGGTCCATTGTGGTAATTCTGTCAGTCTTCGCTCATGATCTCTAGTATTACTTGTGCTTCTCGTGTCTCAGTGTTTTGGTCTCTAGTTTTTTGTATTTTGGACATTTTTGGATTTTGGCTCCCTGCCTTGGATTTATTCTTTTGTTTTATCCTTCAAAATAAAGGATTTTTTCTTTATATCATCACCTGCCTCGTGTCATCCTGGGGTACTTCATTTCGGGTCCTACCAACCTCGTATCGTGACATTCATGTGCTCAAGTGTTTCTGGATCATGTACCACTTCTTACACACCCACCTTCTGCCATAAATGGTCAGTACAAAGCACTATATGAATACCCTGCATAAATAAGATGGCTTATCAGTGGCTTTCACATGTAACCATGGCAACCAAAACTGAAACTGAGGTGCTTGTGCATGACATACCCATGGAAAATGTTTTAAGATGCACATCTGCACAAATCAGTGACGAGACTCTTGTTCCTAAACTAAACATCATCCTAGGACATCTAACGGGCTGAAAAAGACGCACTCAATTCTCACGTTGGGATAAGTTAGCTCTTACCACACCATGGTCCCACATTGTTTCCCAACACTGGTGAACAAACTTTCCTAAGGAGGATAGAACACCCTGGGTGTTTCTCAATGTCAAGGAACCTCGCCCTGATGTTTTGGTCCCGCCCCAGTTGCCAAGGAGTTACGTCATCAGGAACCGCCAAGGCGTGTTTCAATGTTACAGTTCTACCGAGGTGTCTGTCCTCCGTTTGTTAGCCGTTTAGCCAGCTGACCAAGGATACATGGGAGGTGCCTTGTTGCCTTCTCTGGTCAAATTTCCAGTTTAAATGTAAGTCAACTAATTGTAGCTATCAGGCTGATATATTTAATGTTTTTTACATTAGTTAGTTACTTAGTAGTTGCAGCTTTGGTGGCTAGCAGGTAGTAACTTGCTTACATATTTAATCAAACAAATATATAAACAACTAAAAAAAGTAAAAGGCTCGTTATACATTTATACTGAAATGTATACACATAAAATATAACTTTATCTCACGTGTTACGTGACGTGACGTGACCGCCGCGGTTATGTGAGCTAAGTCTGTTCCATTTGATCGCTTTCTTTGACCGTTGAGGAACACCCTCTCTCTGGTCTGTATTACTAGCACCAGTCCAGTAGCCTGGGAATCTGGATAAACCACAGCAGTAGCAAAAGATTTGATCAGTTTTGTCACACTCCGTTGTAGCCTCAGCAGGTCCACTATTGGCCTGAACAGTTTTGGGTCTGGCCAATCACAGCGCTCTACGTTTGTAGACAGAAGTGTGGGCTCAACACCAGAGCTGCGATGTAGAACGGCATTCATTTAAAACAGCTTTGGCATCAACTTTGGAGGATTTTGACCTGGGCTTTTCTTTGAGGCATGAGTAGATAGAGGTACTTACAGTAAGTCCATATTTAGAAAAGGGATGTATTTGCTGCTTCTTCATTATCTTTGATGGTGCATGGTGGACTGCCCTGTTGACTGATATCTGGAGTGATGACTACGACGCTGTTCTGAAAGGTCCTAGTGCTGGTAGTGCTGACCAATTACGTGTGGAGACAGTTTGAAAGACAACCAGATTCCACATCACAACTGATCTCCCAGACTATACATTGGAGATCTTTGCCCAGGTAACAAACTCACCTTCCCCTGAGACCTTCCCAGGTGTCCATCCAAGACACCATTCATAGCCTTTAACCTACTAAGGTTATGTAATTCCTGTCTTTTGTCACGTGTTTTACATTGTAAATAAAATCTGGACAAAAAGAGCTAAGTGTGCCAACATTTTAGTAAAAGGGATTGTTGTCCCCTGGAAAGAAATAACCCTAAAACAGGTGCCCACGCTGATTTATTTCTTACTGTTGAAACATACAAACTTGCACCACAGGGCCCATGGAAGTTAACCGCTGATTTATTGAGCACAGGACGGGTTGTGATGCATTTAGGTTTGAATGGAAAACTGGGCAGTAAATACTTCATGAGTCTGCAGACGTCTGTAGAGTGAAGTCAGCTGGGTTTTTAATTCACGACTAACATGACCAGCATGGGCAAGGAGCACACCTGCACACCCCCACAACCTCCTCCCACTCACACACACACACACACACACACACACACACACACACACACACACACACACACACACACACACACACACACACACACACAACAAAATCCTGTAACATGTATAATTTCTGTACATAAAGCCCGACCGTTAGGAAAGGACCCTTTTATGAAAGGTAATTACTGTTAAACACATATCAAACACACACACATGCATGTGAAGTCATGTCCCATAGCCACACACACGCACGCACGAACACACACGCGCACTATCAGCACTCAGGAGGACCTCTACCTCACTTTGACAACCATCTGTAAGCAATCTAAGCTCATCTCTTTTTTCTCTCGGGGCTCTCCGTCTCTTCTCTTCTTCTTTTCTAAACCCCCCCCCCCCCCCCCCCCCCCCCCCATCACCGGACTGCTGAATGATCAGAACACTATCTCATGTTGTGGACTACAACACTAAACAGGATTATTTGAATGAGTATTTTTGTTATAACACAATTTGAGAACTTCATTTTGATTCTATGCTGTTAAACTGACTAAATGATGCTGAATGAAGTTGGTGGGGTTTGTAGAAATTGTATCTATTAGCTGTTCCTTTTGTCGTCTGTGTTCTGATTTAAGCAAGAAGGTCTGCACCTGTCTTGTTTTTTTATGCAAAAGTTGTGTTTGCTGGAGACTGATACATCCTTCGTCTCCCCCCGTCCCTGCGTCTGTCCCAGTAGGTCGCCTGGCGTAAGAAGAGGAGGATCAAGAGGCTGAGACAAAAACAGAGGGGCATGGAGGAAACGCATCTGTACCCATCCTGACAAAGAAAAGGAAAACAAGAGAGGAGCAGAGATATTAAGAATCTTTATTTTAAAAAATGAACAAAAAAAAAAGCAAAACAAGAAAACAAAGCAGCGCCAAAATATTTGCACTTTCTCTTCCCTATGTTCAACATTTTACATGTTTTTACACGTTGTGTGTGTGTGTGTGCGTGTGTGCGTGTGAACGTGTGCGTGTCACGGTAAGATTGAGATTATATTTGCGAAGATGTGACCGGCTCACCACTGGAGGAGCATGTATTTGTACGTAACCACATGTCCCTGTTTGTTCTGTCTGCTGTTTTGATTTGACTTCATGTAACAGGAACGGACTGTCATACTAAAGATGTATGCCTCCTGTTAGATATACTGTAGCTACAGTCCAAGTTTTACTCAAGAAACACAGAAAGAGTCAAAATGCAATTGTGGCTGAATTCATGGGATGCGGAGTCTAATTGGTCAGAACTAAACAAAAAGCTGCATGAGAGCCCTTTTACTTCTGCATTGAGCATTCTTGTGTACTGATGTTTTGCTTTAGGAAGCAGCTGTTTCTGTTATCGATATGTGACTCACACCTTCAAGTACTTTTTGTACAACCTAAAAGAACATGGAAGATGTTTTTTTCACTGAAAAAAAGTTTCATCTTGTCAAAATACAAGTAAAAACTTTAATGCTGATGGCATTTTCAAGGCAAAAAGGAACATTATGAACTAAGAAGAAAAAGCATCAATCTGTAATAAATAAAATTACAAAAGTACTTTTTGAGCCTCGTTCCTTTCCGCATTAGAACCATTCATATATCCGGTACTGTAAAGATTTTTTTAACCCCCACAAAGATATCCTATGCTTTTCTTTGTCACTTTTTCAGATCAGCAAATTAATGTCAGAGTCAGTAGTAAATACAAACTATTGATTACATCTTACAAGAGAGGGTGAATGAGTAATTGGCTCCCTTGTTAAATCACGAGTTAACCGTGATGAACTTTATTTATAGTTTATCTCCACCAGCTACACCCAGACCAGATTAACAGAACATTTAGATTAAAACATCACTTCAACAGAACCTCTTTGACAACATGGAGGCGAAAGCAACACATCCTGTCCCGTTCTAAAGACATTTAAAAAGAAGAGAGCACAGAACGTCTATCAGCACCACCTGTTTAAGGTCAAAGGTCATGATTCAACAACCTTCCAATGTCCACAACTAGAAAAACCTGGATTTGGTAGTGTGATCATGTGTGTCTGGCTTTGCTTCTTCAGGAACTGGACCACTTCATTTGAAGGAGGCATATTATGACTCTATTTCTCAAAGAGCAAGTCACCCCCTACCAGAGTCTTAGGGGGTTAGGGATGACTTGCTCTTTAAGTTATAATAGCTCTATGGTCGATACAAACATGAAGTCCTTTGCGCTAAACTTCTCTCACATAAAGTAATTTCAGCAGTTTTATTCTTAACAATTTCAGTACCTTCCATAATGAGTCATTTCAGGGCTCTGTCACTTTAAGAAAAAGAAAAAGTAGAAGAAGAAAATATTTCTATAACGCCTCTCAAGATAAAAATCACGAGGTGCTTCACAAAAACAAAAATGTAAAAATATAAAAATAATTTAGAAAATGGTTAAAAATATATTCAAAATGAGCAAAAAATAGACAATTGTGATTAAAAAAATGTTAAGAAAGAGAGAGAGTATAGAATAGGAAAGAGGGAAATCAGTGGATCCTGAGGAAGGTGGAATAGGTGGGGAGAGCAGAATAAGGAGAGGGCGAAGAAGGTCATACAAAAGCCAGCTTGAACAAGTGAGTCTTCAGCTGCTTTTTAAAGGAGACCACTGAGTCCACTGATCTCAGGCTCAGAGAAAGAGAGTTCCAGAGTCTGGGGGCCACAGCAGCAAATGATCTGTCACCTTTGGTCTTTAGCCTGGTGCACTGCACAACCAGTAGGCTTTGATCACTGGACCTCAGGGACCTGCTGGGGGTGTAGGGACTAAGAAGATCACCAATGTAAGATGGTGCTTGTCCATGTAAGGCCCTATAGACCAGAACCAGGATCTTGAAATGAACCCTGAAGTTGACTGGCAGCCAGTGAAGCTGGAGGAGAAGCGGGGTGATGTGGGTGTGTTTGGAGGACTTGGTCAGAAGCCGAGCACAGGCATTCTGAACCACCTGTAGACGGTTCAGGGAGGTTCTGCTCAGACACGTGAAAAGGGAGTTACAGTAGTCTAAGCGTGAGGAGCTGAAGGTGTGGATAACTGTCTCAAGTTAAGAGCGGGACAGAATTGGACTCAGCTTAACAATGTTAAGAAAAACTAGCTGGAGCTAACTATGCTCACCCATCCCTCTGATAGGCTGCCATAGACGAAAAGGTCCAATATCCAGGAGGAGCTTGGAGTAGAATAGCTGATTCTCCTTTAGCAGCTTTTTCTTGCATGGTAGAGGTAAGTAAGCAAGTAAGTAAAAGTTTATTTATATAGCGCCTTTCACAGATATAAATCACAAAGTGCTGTACAACATGATGAAGATCAGGGCAAATACCTCTAACCAATAAAAACATCAGAAAAACGATAGCAGTGATAAAGTAGAAAATAAAATCATGAGTATAAACAAAGTGAAGGTGTGAACAAGAACAAAGCCATCTTTTTGAAACATTTAGGGAGGGAACGCCTGGATGAAAAGGTGAGTTTTTAGATGATTTTTAAAGATCTCTACAGTGTTAGAGAGACAGAGATTTGAAGGTAGCCTGTTCCAAAGTCTGGGTGCAATAGTCTGAAAGGCCCTGTCCCCTTTGGTTTTCAGTCTGGTTCGAGGAACAGCCAGGAGGTTTTCAGATGTGGATCCAAGGTTCCGAGAGGTGGTGTGTGGGGATAAAAGCTCAGATAGGTAGCTTGGAGCCTGGTTGTTAAGAGCTCTATAGGTCAGGACTAAAACTTTAAACTGAATTCTATATTCTACCGGGAGCCAGTGGAGGGACTGTAAAACTGGAGTGATGTGAGCTCGTCTGCTGGATTTGGTTAGGAGTCTGGCTGCTGCATTTTGGATGGCTTGAAGGCGTGAGAGGGAGGTTTTGCTGAGACCAGTAAAAAGAGCGTTACAGTAGTCTAAGCGTGATGACACAAAGGCATGGATGATTTTTTTCCAGATCTGCAGTAGAAACCAGTTTACGGACTTTTGAAATGTTTCTCAGTTGAAAGAAACAAGAGCGGGAGATGGTTTTGACGAGTCTAAACTTAAAGCTGGATCAAAAATAACTCCCAGGTTTCTAATGTTGGCCTTGGCTGATGGGCAAAAAGAGGCAATTTCTTGTTCGATTTTTGGCTGAAGTTCTGGGGGTGCAGCGATCAGGGTCTCTGTCTTGTTAGCATTTAGGACAAGAAAGTTGCTGGACAGCCAGTTACTGATCTGGGTCAGGCAGAGTACAAGGGTGGCCAGCCTGTCCAACTGGTGTGGCATAAAGGACATATAGAGCTGAATATCATCAACGTAGATGTGGTAGGAGATGTCTGGGAAAGACTGAATGATGCCAGCTAGGGGAAGAATATAGAATGTGAATAGTAGAGGCCCTAGAACTGAACCTTGTGGGACCCCGCATGTTAGAGAGGCAGTGTCTGAGGAGAAGGTTTCTGACTTCACTGTGAATGTTCTGTTAGTGAGATAGGAAGAGAGCCAGTCTAGAGCAGAACCTGAAATCCCAGCCAGGGCCTTTAACCTGTTTAGTAGAACGTTGTGGTCTACAGTGTAGGGGTTGTACGAACTAGTCGACTAGTCGACTTCACGGCTCTGTAGTGACTTTTTATGCCTGTCATCAACTAGTCGCTGTCACGTGATAATGACTGACAAGATGCAGTCCTCGGAAAAGACAGCAGGTGATTAGCCCCTGCGCGTCTGGATCGAGGCGGAGGCGACGCGCTGTGCGGTACTGACACCGGCGGTAAAACGGACATTTAACCAAACTGTGACCTTTTCCCTCTTGCAATTTAACCTTCCCCTCACCCCCATCCTAATCTCAACCAGTTTGTGCATGCAAAGCTCTGATCGTTGACGTGCACTCCAGACATTGCGTCCTGAGCACTGCCAAATCAGGTGTCACCACCTCAAAAACAAATTAAACACGCGATCGTTCATGTCGGCTCATTTCCTTTCATGTTTTCTGTCTGTTATTTGTGCCTGATGCATTTTTCTGCTGCGGAGCGAGGCGCATCACCTGTTGTCCTCCGGTGACGCACCCCCAAGATTTCACTATCTCCACTCCGCTCCGCTCCGGCATGAACTCCGCAGCAAAAACGGTCCCGTTGTAGTCAGCCGGCGAGCAGCGGCACTCCGCTGTTTTTGCGGTCGGTAGATCTTTTAGAACTGCAGTTCAAAGGTAACTCATAAGGTGAATGAACCCAGGTAGCAGTTTTTCTTTAGGTTTGAGAGGAGATGCAGGAAGATAATAAACAGACAGGACAGAAAAATAGTCAAATAAAAACAAGTTAGTTTTTGTACCTGCTGGTTGCAACAAACAGACACCATTGAAGGTCATCAGAAGTGAGGAACAGAAAATGAAATAATTATTTTAATGTTTAGAGCAGCAGGAAAGGCTGCAGGCGCATCAGTGAGTTTGCGGCCGCTGCGCAGGGGGAGGGGGGAGAGGACTGAAGTAGGATGCAGAAACTACTGTTGTGAAAAGAGATGTGTTAACTTAGAAAATGTGGGCACAATTTTAATTGTCAAACTCCAGTGAACCTACCGACCGACCCCCCCCCCCCCCCCCCCCCCCCCCCCCGCTTCCGGCGTATGACGTCATCAACGACTAGTCGAAGTCGACTCGACTTTCATTACTTGACTGTCGACTTTAAAAAAAATAAAGTCGTGCAGGCCCTACTACAGTGTCAAAAGCTGCACTGAGGTCTAGCAGGACCATGACAGAGCATTTCCATGCATCAGCAGCCATCAGGAGGTCATTATGCACCCTTACTAGAGCAGTCTCAGTTGAGTGCTGCTTCAGAAAGCCAGATTGGAAGGGGTCAGAGATCTTTGACTTAGAAAACCAGGATCTGAGTTGGGTTTCAACAACCTTCTCAAGTACTGTGCTGATGAAAGGTAGCTTAGAAATGGGCCTAAAGTTACTGGTAGAGCTGGCGTCAAGGTTGGGTTTCTTTAAGAGAGGAGTCACTACTGCATTTTTAAAGTAAGATGGAACACAGCCTTGGCTCAGTGAGCTGTTGATTATAGTCAACAGAGATGGACTGATAGCGCCAAGGGACCCGACTAAAACAAAGGGAGTTAAGATATCTGATGAGCCTGATGAGAGTTTCATCTGATTGATTATTGAGGTTAAGTCATTTAGTGTAATTGGGGAGAAGGAGGTGAAAGACTCGGAGCAATGGGGGGCCTCCCCTCCTGAGGGGGCGAGGAATGCTGGCTCTCAGATTCAGAACCTTGTTTGCAAAAAAGTGGAGAAATCTGTTACAGTCATCAGCTGAAGATAGCTGAGCCTGCTGCAGAGGAGAAGACACGATGCTTGAGATGGTATCAAACAAAACCTTAGGATTATTCTTATTTTGGCATAAGAGGCTGCTGAAGAAAGAAGACCTGGCATTTTCTACAGCTTCGTTGTATGACTCGAGAAGTTCTTTAAAATATTTGCGATGAACAACCAGACCTGTCCTCTTCCACCGTCGTTCTGCTTTTCTATAGGAGCGTCTAAGTTCAAGAATCTGGTTGTTCAGCCAGGGTGAACTGGAGGCACTGGAACTGCGGCTGGTTTTGTAAGGGGCG